AGAGACCCTGGTTCCTACTCTTGACTTTGCTGTTTACTGGCTGTCTGATCTTGGCAAGATTTTTACATCTTTGAGTCTCACTTTCTCATCTATAAAATGTGAATGATAATAATGTCTACCTCTCCAGCTTGTTATGAGAATCAAGGGAAGTTATATTTAACGAAAACTACTCAACTTAATTAAACTAGGAAGCAAACAAAACTCGTTACCATCAAGTCAATTCTGACTCATGGCAACTGCGTGTGTTACAGAGTAAACTGCTCCATAGAGTTTTCTTGGCTGCCCTCTGTACGGAAGCAGATCACCAAGCCTTTCATCCGAGGCGCCGTTGGGTGGGTTCAAACCACCAACATTTGGTTAGATGTCGAGCTCAAACCATTTGCGGTACCCGAGGACATTTTTAATTAAGTTAAACCCACCCCGTTTTATGAAGGATTTGAGGCAGTTTACATCATCACCACATGTGATAATACTAAAATACTTTTAAAAGAACTTTAAAATATAGTAAAAATTCATAAAAGTAGAAAGTTAAAACCAGAGGGGTAAAAAGAAGCATGAATAAGCAGATCATAAGGTCCTACATACTTGCTGTAGTCAAACCGGAAGTAACCTTTCTGGTTGCCAAGGAGGGAGGGGAAGAAATAATAGTCAGTAATATACTGAATTCATATCGTTTGAGAAAAATCATACCCTTTCCTCAAGCAATGCAAAACTTCACTGGTAAATGTGTTTTAAAAGAAATTTCTCACTTGGGGCTTTATGTAGAGTAGAAAAACAGACCTACCTAAATGTGAAGTAACTAACATTGTTACAATGTACGTGGTTGCTACTGAACTGCAGCTACTTAAAAATAATTTGATTATTAACAAGCGTCCTGGAAGTGTTCTCATTTGCAATAATATTTGACTATTGAAGTAGTTACATTTCAGAAGAAGGTTTTCTTGGAACCTTAAAATAATTATCTTCAGCGTCAAGTACAGGAAAGAGTAGGGTCTGGCCGGAAGTAACAAACCACAGTGTCTGTGCATCTGCTACTTGACCAGTACAGAGTTTCGTTGGTACTTTCCAAACCATGTGTCCAGAATTTCTCTGCCCTCATTTTGCCTGACAGCTATTTGCTTACTATCAGGGCTCCTTGTCTCTCAGACTACAGAGCATACACCCTAATTCTTAAGAGGATTGCATGATTCTACTTGTTTTACATTTATTAAATTGTGTTTACATGAACAAATAGTATATAATCTTTGCCCTGGTCAAGCTCTGTTTTTAGTTACCCAAAGCTACGAAACTTTCACAAGTAGTTATGGTAATTACTGATCTTACCCTCTCAAGTTCAAGAATGTTACTGTTGTTTTTCGGTGCCTTCAAGTAGCGACCTTACGTACAACAGAAGGAAACACTGTCCAGTCCTGCCCCGTCCTCACCATTGTTACTATGCTTGAGGCCATTGTTGCAGCCACAGTGTCAATCCATCTCACTGAGTGTCATCCTCCTTTTCTTTGACCCTCTACTTTACCAAGCATGACGTCTTTCTCCCAGGACTGGTCTCTCATGATAACACGTCCAAAGTATGTGAGACAAAGTCTTGCATTCCTCACTTCTAAGGAGCATTCTGGCTGTACCTTTTCCAAGACAGATTTGTTCATTTTGCTGGCAGTCCATATTTATTGTTGTTAGGTGCCATCAAGTCAGTTCCAACTCATAGCCACCCTGTGTACAA